TTGTTTGGCTAGGGCTTCCATGACCGCTTCAGTCTCAACAGAATCAAAGACCTTTTTTAGATCAAATATCTAAAATCCATAAATTATATCAAGATAAACACAGACAGAAAGCTTCATGGAACTGGATCTGGAGGCATTTTAATGACTAACTGCCACTGGTCAAACAAACAGAAGCAAAAAATAAACAAGTGGGACTATACCAAATTCAGAAACTTCTGCACCACAGCCCACAACGACTGGGATAAAACGATGCCCCACAGACTGGGAGAAACTATTTGCTCACCATACTTTCTTTTTTAATCAAAAGAAAGCTCACACTTTAATCCAGATACCAGGAATTTCTCCTAAAGGTTGACCCTCTGCCCACTCCATGTTCATGTTTCCACTTACTAGCCCCTAATGTTTTTCATTCTCTCCCATTCACCCCTCCCCCCCACACACACACATGTGCAGCTCATATCCCACTCATAGGTACTCATGGACCACTCCCCCTGTCCCCGGCCTGTGAGTACCTCAATCTTGGAGTCCCCTTACTAATCAAGGTGCACTTTTCTTGAGGAAGGACTGGAAGGGAGGAGCCTAGATTCAAGCATCATTGGTGCACAAAATCCAAAGTGCTCCAACAGCCTAAGCACACTCTCTGCAGGAAGGGGGCCTGGGTTCCATCCCTAGGACCATACAGTGTCCTGAAGAGCAATCTCTGAGCACCGAGTTAAACTGGGGAGTAGCCCTGAGGACCACCAGGTGTGGCCCAAATCTCAAAATAACCAAGAAAATAAAAGGAAAAAATTATCAAAATGCCTTTTCCTCCAGATGCAATCAGAGCACTGGCCTGCAAGGGGGCGGGGGAGGGGGTGGTGGTGGAAGGGCGGGAAAGGGGCACCCTGATGAGTCATAGCCTTCCGTGCAGGTGAAGCCTGATAAGACACCTGAAAGGGCCACAGGAGAGGGCACTCTCCAAAAGCCACCACAGCCCTTGCTTTGCTTTCTGGGCCAAGCTTGGACCTGCAGGCTTGTGGCATTTCCCCGGATGGGGTCATAATGGCAACATTGTGTCCAGAGGAACAAGAGAGGTTTTCATGCTGAGACCAGTAGAGTCATAGCGCCAGCAAGGGGCTCTGAGGAGCAGCCTGCACAAAGATGCTGGGGAGAGGGGTCAAGCTGGAACACCAGGAGCTGGGCAGCAGAGCCGCACAGCACCCTTCAGCTGGGGCAAAGAGGCATTGCTCCCCAAACACCTCATGGCCATTTCTTTTTCTCCCTGCAAGAATGTATACAAATAAGACATCCAGAGGAGAGATGGTCCCCCCTCAGGGTCTATTGCTGGAAACCACAGCACTTATTACACCGTGCTCTGCAGTTTTTTGGGGTTTTTTTTTGGTTTTTTTTTTTTTTTGCTTTTTTGGATCTCACCCAGCGATGCTCAGGGGTTACTCCTGGCTCTGCACTTAGGAATTCCTCCTGGTGGTGCTCGGGGAACCACGTAGGATGCTGGGAATCGAACCCGGGTTGGCCACGTGCAAGGCCACTGTACTACTGCTCCAGCCCCAGCTCTGCAGTACTTATCATACAGTATTCCAAAGTACTTGCAAGAAGCTGAGCACTGAGTGGAACTCCTAGGGATTCAGCCATCCGTGAGATACCACTCCCCTGCAGAGCGCTAGAATCTAGAGGGCCAGGGACTGAGAAGAGCAAAAGGTAAGTGGGAAAGCTCAAAGTGGAGACCAAATGAGAAACTTGAGGCTCTGAGTGAGTCGGATGGAGAGGCTACATGTTTCCCTGGTCTTTGGTCCTGGACCTTTTCCCAGGCCTCTGGAGACTGCTCCCGCAGTGCTGTGGGTTGCGAGCCCCTGGAGAAGCCCTGACCACAATACAGGACTCAGATTTAAGTGGAGAGTAAGGGGGCGGGTGGGCTCCCACATGTTCTAGGCGTGGGGTGAGAGCAATCATGTAGCAAGTCAGAGGAGAGGTGAGAGGCCAGAGCAGACCTCTCACAGGACAAAGAAACTTTCCGCTCCACATTTTCCCTTCCCAGGGCTGTTCAGCTCCACCTGATAAGCGAAGAAGGAGACCAGGGCGTGTCATTTGTTTTCACAAGACTGGGATCATGGAGGAGCTGGAAACTTTCTTCCTGGTATTGTTTGCTATGACCAAATTTGCAGATTTTTTTTTTTTTTTTTTTTTTTTTTTGCAGAGCTAGAGCTGGAGCCCGCCTCAGAAAATTCTTTAGACAAGCCCCAGGCAAACCTGAAAGTTTCAGTACTGAGTTAGAAGACAAGTATTTAGGAATTAGTATTGAGCAAGAATAAAAGGGAACATGTGAGGCAGTTTTTAAATTCCTTTCCAAACTTTTACTCCTGTAGGGAAATGGGAGTGAGTGGGAAGCCAGGCCTCCCCACATACATGCCTTCCCTAGCCCAACGCTTCCCGCTGGAACCCAGCGTCAAACCAACAGAATCTGCTTCCAGGTGCGGATTTTACTCTCATTGTATTTATTCTCTGCCTGTTGATATCTCTCATCAGGGCTGACTCCACAATCAGATAGAAATTCTGTCTGTCTCAATAAACTTTACAAGCACTTAATCTGACCTTTGGTTTTGTGCTTTGTTGTTGTTTTTATTTTACCTTTTTTGCTTTTTGGGTCACACCCAGCGATGCTCAAGGGTTGCTCCTGGCTCTGCACTCAGGAATTTTACTACTGGCGGTGCACAGGGGATCATATGGGATGCCGGGGATTGAACCCAGGTCAGCCATGTGCAAGGCAAACACCCTACTCGCTGTGCTATCAATTCGGCCCCCACCTCTGGTATTTTTTGCATAGCAGTTTGTAGCTACACTCTTGTATGCATCTATATCTCTTCTGTTAGAAGGTAGATTCCCTGAGGAGGCAGGCAGTCCTATTTCACTTTCGCTCTCCTGAGAGGGACTTACACGAGTACAATAAATATTCCTCAGTAAACTGAATAAAAATGAAGGGGCCCTTTTTTGGTAAGTATAGAGACTTTGTTATAATGTGCACTTAGTCTTATGCAAATCCTATGAACTATCTCTTGGCCAACTCATCCAATCCTGGCAGCAACCGAGCTGTAGGCAATTTAGTTAACAGTGCCACCTAGTGGCATCATCTAAACCAGAAGCACCACGCTGTTCACGGGAAATTTGGAGGGGCGTGGTCCAGTGGGAAGGAAGGGGGGACACTGGGTGACACTAACAGACCAGAGGCACCATATAGGATGCTCAGAATTGAGCCCAGGTCAGCAGCATGCAAGGAAAGCAAGAACCTTACCTGCTGCACTCTTTCATTCCTTGTTGTCATTAGAACTTTGCAGATCATAGTTCAGCTAATACACTTCATATTGCATAGACACATGTAAATTCCCCTTAGCCATTTGATATTTCTATTCCACTTATCTGCGTGTACCTCCCAAGTCCTTGGAAGTTCTCTTTTAGATCTCTACAAAGGCCTTGATCTATTTCTGCTGTTGTTACATTTTATACCTTCCTATTTCAAAAGAAAGGCTATGTTTTAAAAAAATTTTGGCGGGCTAGGCTGGGATCTTAACTGGAGTTGATAGCCTTGTGTGCCAGTGTTTAGGAGTTAAAGCAATGAATTTTTGGAACTTTATCCACTTGTAAGTTGTTAGCTGTCTGCTTTAGAATTTAAACTGACCTTTTCAAATTGGAAAAGTGGGCAGAAACAAAGAGGAACTTGGAAAATCATAATGGACCACATTTTCAAGCTATTTATGGTTTATAAAGTGGGTTTGTATCATCATCTCATTTGTCCTCCCTATGAGCCTATGAGGTCAGTATGAGGTTTCCCAAAGACAGCTGAGCAAGCAAGTCCCATAGACTCAAAGTTACACATACTTAGCAAGAAATGGAGCAGGATTCACACAGTTTTCGGTCAGCTCTGTTCATCACTGTTCCACATTCTGTATGCTCATACACGTACACACTAAACAAACTACTTCTTGCATTTGTCCAAGGTAACTTTAATTTCAGCCTCTAAATACAATGGACAAAAGTGACCAATTTGTGTGGAGGTTGGGGCAGGGGGGGGGAAGGGCGGGGGATGTGCCCAAGCCCTTGCTGGCTTCCACCCCTTACTCCAGTTGCTTTCCAGTCCACAATGCTCTGAGGAAAGTTTATGAGGGGCGTCTCAGAAGACCACTGGGCATGGACTTTTATTTAACCTAAATGGTTTTGTTTGGGTTTGTTTTTGTTTTTGTTTTTTTGCTTTTTGGGTTACACGCAGCGATGCTCAGGGCTGACTCATGGCATGGCTCTGCACTCAGGAATTACTCCTGGTGGTGCACAGGGGACCATATGGGATGCTGGGGACCCAACTCGGTCGGCTGCGTGCAAGGCAAGTGCCCTACCCGCTGTACTAGTACAGTTGTACCTGCTGTACTAAGGACCAGTATCTAAATGGTCTTTAATGGAGACACTTGCTTTTCCCTCTGAACGGGTTCATCCTCTTTTCCAAGATACAGAATGGGAGAGGGAAAGTTGACATTCTTCATACAATCTTCAACGTAAAGGGGCCGCAGTGTCAGAAGCAATCTTCTGTGATTATATTGGGGAAAGTGTCTATTACATGCTATTTTGTCTGCCAAGGGAGATCACCATCTTTTCTCCCTCTTTCTTGGCCTTTCTTCACATCAGTGCATTGGGAACCTCCAAGTACGGACATGTCCCCAGCACCTCTCAGTAATCCTTTCCATTTCTCCTGGGTGGGTTTTTATTTTTTGAAGATTATTGTTGTTGTTGTTGTTGTTGTTGTCGTCATCATCATTATCATCATTATCCACACCCTTAGTGAGCCAGCAGAGTGCCTGCTGCGCTGTCTGGCTCAGGAAGACCCGTGTATGGAGAAGAGCCAGGAAACGGGTGGCAGCTGCAGAGACAGAGGTTCGATTCCACCGGAAGAAAGTGCGTGCTCCCTAGCAGTGCGGGCGACCTGCGGTGGCAGGAGGGTGCGAGGGCCACCCCCGCCCCGCCCCGCCTCGGCGGTCAGTGGCCCGGAGGGCGGGGCGCGGGCGTGTGCGGGGACCCCCGCCCCGGGGCGCGGCGCGCTCGGGGCTATTCCGGGAGCGGCGTGGAGGCGGGCGCTGGGCGCGCATCCTGCCGGGGGAGGAGACGCGCGGCGGCCGAGCGCGAGCCCTTGCGCCCTGGTGCGCGTCCCTCGCCGGCGCCATGGACCGAGGCCGGGGTAAGAGGGGCTGGGCGCGGCGGGGAAGGGGGCGGCGGCGGCGAGGTGAAGGCGGCGGGCGCGGCGCGCGGGGCCGGGGCGCGGGCTGGGCGCGGGAGCGGCCGGCGCCGCGGGCAGGTGCCTGGGGGCTGCGGCGCGCTCGCGGGCCCGGAGCTGAGCGTAGTAGAGAAGCCGGGTGTGGGGGCCCCCGCGGCTCGCGGCAGACGCCCGCACGGGATTGCCGAGCAGACCAGCTCCTCCCACCCATGACCCTCTAGCCGATCAGATGGAGCCACCAGGCTGCCCTCCCAAACACCCCTTCTTCACCGCCTCCCAACGGGCACAGCCCCTACTGTGTGCCGGGGGGAGAGGGTGTGTGTGTGTGTGTGTGTGTGTGTGTGTGTGTGTGTGTGTGTGTGTGTGTGTGTGTGCAGTTGCAGCTGAGAAAGATTTGGGAAGAGGTAGTATGCGTGTGTGTGCATGCTTTTGTGTGTGCGCGCGTACGTGTGAGCACGTGCGTGTACGTGTGTGTGCATGCGCACCGAGACACACGCGCGTGCTATCTGCGCTCACTGTTTGGGACACGAGTCCTGTGACCTGAGCTCAGTCCCTGCGCTTCTCTGGGCCAGCGACAAAGTTGGACTAAAGACTGTCCACTGCCCCTTTCTGCTTGCACTCTGAGATGAAAGTGTTTGATAGCCGGGTCACAGGGCAAGGAGGGCTGTCAGGCAGAGTAGGTTGAGGTGGGAAGAAAGAGCTGTACGGGACTATTGTCTACTTAAAGGCCCACATACCATCAGGAGCCTGTGACTGTCAAGAAGTGGCCTGTTTGGGCCTGGAGGCAGGCTGGGAATGAAACCCCCAGATGCTTAGCCCCCACCTCTGGGATGCCAAAAGATCACAGGTGTTGGTGCCCTTGGCAAATGGCTGAGGACTGAGGGCTGTGAAGGCGAGCTGCATTCTTGTGCTCCTTTTTGTTATGAATGGAAAATCCCTCCTCTTCCTGTTGTGACCTTACAACCTTCCCCCATCTGCCTGCTTTCTAGGGCCTGGAAGGTGGGGAAAGGCATGGCCAGGGCTTGGAAACTAGGAAGGCACTGGGGCAGAGTGGGATGAGTGAGGGGAGGATGTCAGAGTGCTCCCCTGCACTCCCTCTGTGGATAAAGACAGGCTTGGTGAGCTCAGAGGATGCCAGGGAGCCCCTAACTTCCAGTCCAAGATGCCAGGAAGTGGCCCAAAGGGCTGGGAGGCCCAGGTTCAATCACCTACATTGTTGGGTCCCCAGAGCACCCCCAGCTTTGTCCTTCCAAAAGGGCTCTCACGCACCCTCCTCCTCAGCACACATACTGTGTACATCCCCTCCAGGCTGAGGAGGGCTGGCAGAAAATGGGGGGGCGGGAGGGGGTTCCTTTGGGCTCTGTGGAAACTGAGTCTGTTGTGTGAAGAAGCCCTCACTTAGCCCAGAGAGCCTTCATGGTAGGCAGAGAAGAAAGAGAGAAGAAACTTCTGAAGTCCCTCTGTCCCGCTTCCTCCACCCAGAGCAAAGAGCACCACCCCTCACCGCACAACTTGTCAAGTATATCCCCCTGTCCCCCAGTACAGAGACCCATGTCTAGTGTACCCATAATCATGGAAAAGACTATCTTTATTACACAGTGCAAGAGTGACAGGAATTCCCGTCACGTAAAAGCTTAATAACTCATGCCTTGGTGTAGGAGTCTCCTACAAGAAGCTCTTGGCACTCTGAATGTTCTAGAACTCTGGTCCTCTTCCTGCTACAGGTGTTCCTAATCCATCTCTCTGGGGCACTTGCGATTCCTCTGGGGGGGTGGGGTGTAGTTATCTGGCTGTCTGCTCCCCTGGCACTGGGCTTGAAGGTGAAATGCCTGAGCTTCACATTGCAGTGATGCTCTAGGACAGTGGTGCTTAGGGAGCACTGAGGCTAGAGCAGGTGCTACTCTGGGGACCATGCAGTGACAGGGGTCAAAGCTGGGGCCCCCCACCCTTTGAGCTAGCTGAACCTCCAATTAGTTTTTTGCTGATGTGAATTGCTCTTCATGGTAGGAAGGTTGATTTTTGATTTTTTTTGAAAGAATGCAACCATAACTCCTCACATTTGTTTAGGTTTAAAGTGACCCTCTCTAAAAGTGTCGTAGAGGGGTCATGTGAGGTTACCCAGAGAGGGATGCCTAGTTAGATCATCGGGGGGCTACCCTGTCAATTCTTGCAAACACTTTATGAATTAAAAACACACAACTAGGCCGGAAGATAGTTTAGTTGTTAGGGGACCCACTAGGTGTGTGCCCAACCATTTCTCACCAACCACATGGTTCCCTGAGCATTGCTGGTGAAACTCTAGTGAACCTCTGGATACCACTAGTGGGGCCCTCAGGTCTCTTGAGCACTGCTTGAGATGGAAGGAAGGATGGATGGAGGAAGTGAGGAAGGGGAGATGGGGAGAAAGACAGGAAGCGTCACTGTATCAATTAGAGTGCAGTCGTTAGGCTTTGTTTTTAAATCAAACAGGACTTCACCAATCATGCCAAAGAACACTGCACCGGGCCACTGTCCTTGGGTGCTTTTCTGTTGTCCGGTTTCTGGAGCTCCCAGACCTGCCAGGTGGGACACAGGATGACTTTGTCCAAGTACTCAAGAGCAGACTTCGATGTTAGTACCAGTCACAAATGAACTCACCCAGGCCCAGAGCTCCAGAACTTGCTCCACTTTCTCTGCGCCTGCCCCAAAGACAGAGGATGAGGCAGAGGCCCCTCCAGCGGAAATCCCCCATCAGAGGAAGCAGGCTCAGCCATGCTTTCCTTTACAGAGCAGGGCTGCCACCACAGACTGTCACAGAATGGCTGGCGCTAACAGCAGACTGAGTTTTTCCCAGAGACTCCCCAGTCCAAGAGCAACTCGTCATCCAGGTGTGGTTCTTCTTCTACCCTCGCAGATGGGCCCCTTCTGGCTTGTCCCCACATGACCTCTTCTCTCTCTAGTGTCTCTTCCTCTTCTTGTTGTGGACTTAAATCAGATTAAATTGAATCACCATTCAATTGTGACCTCATTTCACCTTCATCACTCCCCCAAAGGCCCTATTTCTAAATATAATCCCATTTGGGATTCGGGCTTTCCCTTCCAAATCAGGAGTTGTGACGAGCAGAGTGAGATGTCAGACATTAGCATGCACAGCTGCTCCCCAGGCAAGAATCAGCACTGGACCTGAGACAGAGCCCTGCTCATCAGCAAATCTCTGACCCTCCCCAGTGCAGGTGACCGTGCAAGCTCTATGGCCATGCCTGGACAACAGTGCTGATCACCTCCGCCAATCTCTGACTCTGGCTTTTCTTTTTTTCCTTTTTGGGTCACACCTGGCAATGCTCAGGGGTTATTCCTGGCTCTGCACTTAGGAATTACTCCTGGCGGTGCTCGGGGCTCCTTATGGGATGCTGGGAGTCGAACCCGGGTTGGCTGCATGCAAGGCAAACACCCTACCCGCTATGCTATTGCTCGGGCCCCAATCTCTGACTCTTCTGTGGCAGTTTCAGCCTAAAATTCAGTGTCCCAGTCAACTGCATCTGAGAGTGGAAACACGCTTAGTGGTGGAGTCTTCTGCTCCCAGAATCTGTGTCTTCCTTTGATTAAAGCAGAATTCACAGGCAGCAGATAGAATGAAATTTCTTCCAGTCGGATTTAGCAGTTCATGGATGTCCTACGAAGTAATGTCATAGACGTTACCTCTGCAGGGCAAGTTCTTATCTCTACATCCTTGGATGAGTATAGAAATGAATATTGATCAAGACTATTCCTTAGGGTTTATTATAAATGTTAAGTGTATAAAAAAAATTACTTCCTACAGTGCCTAGTATATGGGATCCACCCAAACAGAGGCACTGGCCATAATTGCAAAGTTTTTAATCAACTCAACATAATTAAATTGCTTTAGAGAGCAACACTTAGTTCTTCCACGAGCTGTACTAATTCTGGTGACGCTTTGAGTCTCCATTGTTTTAAGTACTGGTACTAGACAGCTTAGTGACCAACTCAAACTCCGGGGCCATTTGTAATCATTTGCTTCTTAGTGCTGGCCTCTCAGAAACCCGTCTCTGCATCCCTGTCCAACAGACTTATGAGTGACAGATTAAATACCTATGCCAATGTGCCCATTTTCTTGTGTTAAGCCTGCTCATTCCTAATGCCCCAATTGTGTCTTCACAACTTGTGAACTTCCCAGTCTTGGGCTAACTTTGGCTGATTTTCAAATGCACCTTCTAGGTTTTTTTGTTTGTTGGTGTATTTGATATGCCAAACACAGTAACAAGTATCACAGTGGAGACGTTGCTGGGTCTGCTCGAGCAAATTGATGAACAACGGGAGGACAGTGACAGTGACTTTTTGGGTCACACCTGGCAGTGCTCAGGGGTCATTCCTGGCTCCCCACTCAGAAATTACTTTACTTCTGGAGGTGCTTGGGGGACCGTATAGAATGCAGAGGCTTAAACCCAAGTCAGCCAAATACAAGGCAAACGCCCTACCCACTGAACTATCTCTCCAGCCCCCCTCATACTCCTTAATGACCAAGGTTACATCTCATCTACCTGACTCCGTGAAGGGAGGTCTCCTTCAGATCCACGCTCAGATTGTCTCTTGTCTTTACAACTAGTTCTTTCTCAGCAAGTTGAATATAACCCAACTTGGGAATTACTTTTGGTTTTTGTTTTGTTATTTTTTGTTTGGGGGCCACTCTCAGTGAAACCCAGGGATCACTCCTGGCTCTATATTCAGGAATTACTCCTGGTGGTGTTCTGGAGACCATATGGGATACCGAGGATCAAGCCCAGGTTGGCCACGTGCAAGGCAAGCACCTAACTGCTATACTATCTCTCTGGACCCTTGGGAGTTACTTTTGCTACTACATTCTGTATTCTTTAGATCATCTTGTCTACTGATGAACAAAAAAATCTGAAGCTTTGCTTTTCATTAAGTAACAGTTTCTTTCATTGTTCAAAGCAATAGAAGACTCA